CCCCATCAGTTCCACACACACATGTAAGACTGGCCACACAGCCAGACAAAAACACCGATGCACTCCTGCCAGGAGAGCTACGACCAGATTATCAGAGAACTCGGGAGGGGTCTCCTTCCTAGAGATCTCCCGTGGATCCGAACCTGTTCGTCTCCTACAGAGGAGTCTGGAGCGTCCTCCAGGACTCCTATGGCTGCGGCGTGCTGGTACGCCTACCTGCCACTATGACCACTACAGACAGATGGCTCCGCCTCGGAGCCTCAGAGAATCCAAAACCAGATCAGTGTTTCCATCCTGGAGCCACCAAGAAACCCAAAACAACAGAGAAAACTCAAAGACAGATGCAGACAGACAGAGACAACCGCGGTACCTGCTCTAGAGCAATCCTCTGTTCTCTAGTTTCTGGTCCCAGGGAGAGCGAGTCAAATCCCGGACGAGCCCCCAGCTGTAAGATTCGTGCCCTGGGCACAAATCCTACACGCCGAAGTGACTCGCCTCACAGAGACCACAAGACAAGAGATTGTTGCAATTTAAGCAAGAGGTGTTTATTCAGCATATGCTGGGTTGCCTTTTTTATAAGCGGCCCCTAACTCCTTGACATGAGAGTTTTTATACACTTTCTTTGGACAAAGACTTTTTTTCATGGTCAGGCTTAACAGGCTAGCCCCACCCCCCGATAAGGGACTGTTCAATTTTTTTTTTTTTTATCACTTGGGCTCTGCCAGGTGTCCTGAAGATAAGAGGGCTGAGACCGGCTGGCCCCTGGAATGTGTGTGTAGTTCTGCTTTGGCCTCTAAAAAGCTGCTTTACTTAAAATACCTTTAGATATGTTTTCCTTGTTAGTAAGTGCTTACAGGAATAATTTGTGTAGGTTAGGTTAAAGTTCATATTTCTCTGTTACAATTTGTGCAGGCTAAAGCTACATAGGCAATAATATGGGTTAGAGTCACAATTTTTATAACAAGTTCATTCTCTGAGGTTGAAATGGAAGTGGGCCTATCATGAGATTTGTGTGTGAATCCAGTATATGTGTGTTTCTCGAGGCTGGATGTCAAGTAAGTATTTTGTGGTGTTCTCCTGTGTAACAGGTCATGTTCTAGGTCTGCAGTGAACAGAATAGACAAAATATTCACAGCATATTAGATACCTATCAAGGAGTGGAGCTCATTTCAGGGATAAAAATGTCTCCATGTTATAAAACACAAATATCCTCATATTTCACAATGATGATGACAGATTAGGCATTGCTGCAAAGTGGTAGAAGTGATAGACACATTAACACATGGGACAGTGAGAACTGGTTATCTACAGTGGAATAATGAATTTCCTCCTATCCACTCCATGTACAATAATTAACTTATTGAAGGTTTACATGTGAAGGAGAAACTAAAACACTCTTAGAAGTTGCAGCAAGTGTTTTAATAACTTCTGCTGAAAAAAATAATGAGGCCATTATTTCAAATGAGGTTCCTGCACTAGGTTCCAAAAGACCAGCCTAAAAATCAAAATGGAGTCACCCCCTACTAAGTTCCATGTCAGCAAATCTAAACCAAGTTGTGGTCTGACCTCCTGAGAAATCAGGACAGAGAAGGAACTGCCAATTTACCAAATGGGTCAGTTTAATCTTCAACAGGTATAAGAATGAAGTTCCCTCTGCTGTAATTACTACACAAAAAGGATAGCCAGAATTAACCTGATGTTAAATCATCAGTTATTTTTCTATTATTCTGTCCCCATCCCCACCTTACAGTGAAAGTAACTTTGAAATGACCAGTCTGTCTTTTGTTCTTTGTTTCTGCTTTCTTCAGTTTTTTCTGTTCATAAAACCAACTTCCTCTGCTTGGCTCATTGGAACTTATTGTTTTTCATGGAATGACCTGTTGCCTGATTGTAGAGTCACAATGAGATCTTTAACTAAATTTGTTAATTATTTAATTTTGTCCTTTGACACTTCAGAATAGAGAGAGTTTTCTTGTATAAGAAAAGCAGAAGGCTACAAAGTAAAAGATTGAGAAATTCAATTCTATTTAAATTAATAGCTTGTTAAAATGTAGAATAAAGGTGGTGCAAAGATAAATCACTATCAGGGAGAAAATATTTGTGGTACTTACAAATAAAAAAAGATTAGTGTCCAGAGTATATAAAGAAAAAAAGATTAGTGTCCATGGTACTTACAAATAAAAAAAGATTAGTGTCCAGAGTATATAAAGAAATCATAAGAAACCAATAAACATACAAATGAATTAAAAGAAAATAACTGATACTTTGTAGGAGATAAAAGACCATATGTGGAAAATGCTCATTCTCATTGGTAATTAATAAAAAGCAATATAAAAATCATAAGAAGCTCTATTGCATGTACACTGATAGACAAAAATGAATAAAGGAGGCAATTCCAATGTTGTCAATTTCATGGAATAAATTATCACATGCAGAGATGGGGGGTCTATTCACACACTCATCGGCATTTCCTACAAGTTTGAAATTACACATAAACTACAACCAAGTAATTTCTCTCCAATAGGCTGAGAATTTGTTATATGTGGGCATTAGGAAACAAACATCAATTATAGGAGCAGCAATTTCACAAGAACAAAAAAAACCTTGAAATATCCCAAACATTATAAGCATTGGAATGGAGGGGTAAGTTGGATGACCTACAGTCTCAAACACCAGCATGTGTGAAACAGACTGAGGCAGAAAAACCAACAATGACCATGTTCAGGGTAATTCTATTAATATCCTTTCATGGAAAGGCTAAGAGAGGCAAAGTTAAACACAACACTTCTTAATGATACATAATAGATGGTAAAGACAGAAAGAATATAAAATTTCTGACAGTGCTCACATCTGGGGATAGGAGGGAAATGAGATCAGGATGGACACATTGGGAGCCTAATATCTGCCCACTCTATTCATCAGTGTGTGTCCAGTCTGCAGGGTTTATATGAGATTAATGTTTAAACTTAAAATGTTCTATGTAAACTTTTCTAAGTGTGATATAACTCACTAAAAATTTTTAAAGAACTATTTACATGTGAAAAAATGTACCATTTAAAAATATTTATTTTACTGTATTATCTGACTACCTACCCTGTTTTGCTATCAGTCTTAGTTTGGAACAAGTTCTCAAGCCTTTTGTACCAGGCCCATTCAATTTATCTCTGTATTCATTTGCACAGGTTTGGGTAGCAAAAGATTGAGAACCAGCTAGTGTCTGTTTAGAGATAACTGGTTACATAAACATATGTTATTATTTGGGCCTTGCCCAGGATCCTAGGGCATTGAGCAGGTGACCCACAGCATCAACCAAGGGACCGGATCCCCTGCCCACAACCAGCACCATGCCAGCACCTCAGGGCCCCACCCAAGGTCCTGGGGCTTGGAGCCAGGGACTGGACCCACCACCCACAGCCAGGCAAACTTCCAGCACCAAGGAGCATGCCAAAAACTTCACCACCATACCACCACAGCCACTACATTAACCACGGCTGCCGCAAAAGCGGATAGACATCACAACCACTACGTGGATGGTCCGCCAGCCACTGGAGTGCATTGACACAAGGAGAATCAAGAGCAGAGACAAAGAAAAGAAGAGGAGGTCACTCCCCGCAAAGCCCATTCCAGAGTGACAAAGAAGCATCTTCTCTATGATCATATTGGGGGACCTGAACATATCTTTCAGCATTGGACAGATCATTTAAGCAACAAATCAACAGAGTAACCATTACTCTTTCAGAAGGAGAGAAGAAGTCTTGGGTTATCAGTGGTTGGAGGGGGGATGGAGAGGGCGCTAGGGAGAGATTGGACAAGAGGCATAAAGAATAAGTACAATTTCTAACAATATACATAATAGTAATATTGATTTAGTCAATATATATCAACATTGAATCCCCAAACTATGGATAATCAATTATGATTCAATAAAAAATAAATAAATAGAAGTAAAAAAATATTTATTTTACTGTATTATCTGACTACCTACCCTGTTTTGCTATCAGTCTTAGTTTGGAACAAGTTCTCAAGCCTTTTGTACCAGGCCCATTCAATTTATCTCTGTATTCATTTGCACAGGTTTGGGTAGCAAAAGATTGAGAACCAGCTAGTGTCTGTTTAGAGATAACTGGTTACATAAACATATGTTATTAACTTTTATAAAAATTAAGGAAACCACCTATTGGTAATGAAAAGAGCTTCAGGACTGATGTCTAATTGAACAAAAAAGCAAAGCATGTACTGTGTAAACCAGAGGGCATCATGGAGTTGTAGAAACAAGAATTACATGAATTGGAATTTCAGAGAGGGGGACTTCTAGGGCAGGGTTTTTGTTAATTCTCAGCAGTGACTGATGATATCACTTGGCTCACGTGGGGGACAGAGAAACTGGGGAAGTATCAGTTGGTCATTATTGCTTACAGTTTTTGAGGCTAGGAAGTTCAAAGTCCATCTGGTGGTGGCAACAGTGACCCAGAGGTTTCACTTTGCAAGATGGTGGAAGCAGAGAGAGAGAGAGACTCTCATGTGCCCCTCTTTTAAAGCCCTCAGAACTACACCCCTGTCCACCATTTTTAATCCAAGCCAGTTAGAGCAGCCCTGGCCTGGTAGGATTGCCCTAAGTGGTTCCTTGGCCTGCCCTGGCCCTAGGGCCCCCTGGCCTAGCCTGCCCAAGGGGCCAATTGTACTGGTCTTCTCCTATGGGCACTTGAGGATGGACTACTGGTAAGGGCATCCTGCTGCTTTCTTTTCTTTGTTGTTGTTTTTTCTTGTTTTATTTTTGGTTTTTCTTTTATGGTTTTTTCTTTCTTTTTTCTTGTTTATTTTCTCTCTCTCACTTTTAAAAAAAATCTTTCTTCTTTGTTGTATTTTTTCTGCATTTTTCTGTTTTTTGTATTTTTCTGTCCTCTTTTTCTTTGTTTTCTCCTTTTTCTTTGGTTCTTAATGGTTTTATTCTTTTCATTGGGTGTTTCTTTTCTGGGGGAATTTCTACTTTTTTGAAGTGGTTCTTTTTTGGGGGGTTTCTTGTATTTGCAGGAGTTTTCTTCTTGGGGAGTTTTTGGTTTTCTTTATTTCAGGTTTGTTCTTTTTGTTGGGGTTTTCTTCTTTTGGGGTGTTTTCTTTTTCTTGGGGTTTTCTTTCTGTTGGAATTTTTTTTTCTTTTTCTTTTTTGTGACCGGTAAGGGGATCGCAACCCTTGGCTTGGTGTTGCCTGCACCACACTTAGCCAGTGAGCACACCGGCCATCCCTATATAGGATCCAAACCCATGGCGGGAGAGCGGCTGCACTCTCAGCGCCACACTCTCCCGAGTGAGCCATGGGGTCGGCCCTGGAATTTTTTTTTATTGGAGTTTTCTTCTTTTCTGGGGGCTTTTCTTCTTTTTGTTGGGGTTTTCTTTTGGGAGGGTTTCTTCTTTGGGGGCTTTCTTGGGGTTTTTCTTGTTTTTAT